TTTTAATATTACCGATATGTCATCGAAAAGAAAACGTGTTGTATTATCATTAAATGACAAATTAAAGTATTTGTTTCGATTATCCGGATTTTTCCTTATCCGGACTACCTTCATCCCCAATTAGTCCGGATAATCGAGGTTCTACTGTACTAAAAATATTAATTTTTTAGAGAATGTCAAAGGACTGCAGGCATATCAACAACTGATTTAGTTGGAAGGTAAAAATCTTGCTTAATTTTTAAATTTCTTTTTCTGTTTATTATTAAGATACTTTAAATGATTTAAAATTTATTCCTTTTAGAATGTTACTTTTGACAAAACAGCATCATAACAGAGACGGAGAATACAAACCAAACAAAAAAGAAGTGGATATTAGCAGAGTAATTTAATTTTACATATGTCATTGAATGAAATGATGTAAAAGCAGATCAATAAATAGTTATCCAAATGAGCTAAATAACAATTAAGTTGTGTGTTAATAATTAAAGATACAGTAAGACCCTGCTTAGTGCTGCCTTGCTTAACGCTGACTTGATATAATGCAGTCTGCTCGAAGCGTAAAAAAAGCTCAAAATTTACTGATTTAAATTATTGCGGCATTTTATTGATTCCTATATGATTATTTGTGAACACAAACCAATCAGCAATAGGTGGCAAAAAGGTGTACTTTCTTTAAATCTATGTTTGTTTGGTGCAATTTTGGAAAAAATATAACATCATGGATGCTATAGGAAATATTGACTTCACTTGGCAGGAATTAACTGATAAATGCACAAATGAAGTGTGGAAAAAGTTATGGCTGAAGTATCCAAGAATTCTTGATGAGAAGAGCCTATTGTTGTATCATTAGGTTGACCAAACTGAACCTAATCAATATAGCAGCACTAGGATTTATAGATGAGCAGGATATTGAGGAGTTACAGCAGGTTTCTGGTGAGACCCTTACCAACGACGACCTTCAAGATCTGGCAGAACATGGAATTCATATGGAACTGGAAAATAGAGATTCTAAAAAACAAAGAACCCAAAAAATTTCTCTACAGATTTCTTTAGTAAAAGTTTGGTAAGATAACCAAAATCATTGATCAAATTGTAGTGAATGATCCCTATTTTTGAAAGGAGTGCAGAAGCAAAATGCGACATTTTGGATGCGATTTTCTGCTACCAACATTTGCTTAAGGAAAGAAAAAAGTGACATATGAAACTTCACGACTTTTCTGAAATTCTTGTTCTTTTGCAATAAAGTCAGGATCTTCATCAAAAAAATGAACTTTACATTTCTGTGTGCATATGTTTGTGTTATTTAACATATATTATTATACAAATTAATATAAAAATAACTTAAAATTAAAGTAAAATTTATTTTTGGTTGCATGTTTCCCTAACGCTATTTATTGATACTTTGACAACCCCTTCANTATCCGGATTGTTCAAAATAAACAAAAATTTTAAGAATTTGCTGATTTGCACTTGGCGAATTACGATACTGTTTATGTACGTGATGGAATGCATAACTTTTTTTGTTTCAACGACGTCTCACCCGGCACAGTGGCCGTAAACTCTTAAATATATTTTGCGTCGTAATAAAAATATAACTTGACATACGTATTTATAGATAATTTATTTTCAAATTACTTCATTTCTATGACCAAGGGCGGCATAAAGCATGGGCAACGTGGGCCACCGCCTATGCCATCGTTTTGAAGGTTTATGCATCACTTAAAAGCCGCGAACGCGACGAAAAACGATAGTCGTCATAAAATGATAGATACTTTGTCAAATTTTGATTCATAAATATTTTATAGAATCCGTCTTCTTGCGCCACCAGAGGGCCTTTTAAACAATAGTTAGTCTGTTAGCGTTGGTCAGTAGTAGTCCAAATTCAATACGAACGTTTGTTTCTTGAAAATTTGATCACGATTTAAATACAGTATTTATTTTTAATATTACCGATATGTCATCGTAAAGAAAACGTGTTGTATTATCATTAAATGACAAATTAAAGTATTTGTTTCGATTATCCGGATTTTTCCTTATCCGGACTACCTTCATCCCCAATTAGTCCGGATAATCGAGGTTCTACTGTACTAAAAATATTAATTTTTTAGAGAATGTCAAAGGACTGCAGGCATATCAACAACTGATTTAGTTGGAAGGTAAAAATCTTGCTTAATTTTTAAATTTCTTTTTCTGTTTATTATTAAGATACTTTAAATGATTTAAAATTTATTCCTTTTAGAATGTTACTTTTGACAAAACAGCATCATAACAGAGACGGAGAATACAAACCAAACAAAAAAGAAGTGGATATTAGCAGAGTAATTTAATTTTACATATGTCATTGAATGAAATGATGTAAAAGCAGATCAATAAATAGTTATCCAAATGAGCTAAATAACAATTAAGTTGTGTGTTAATAATTAAAGATACAGTAAGACCCTGCTTAGTGCTGCCTTGCTTAACGCTGACTTGATATAATGCAGTCTGCTCGAAGCGTAAAAAAAGCTCAAAATTTACTGATTTAAATTATTGCGGCATTTTATTGATTCCTATATGATTATTTGTGAACACAAACCAATCAGCAATAGGTGGCAAAAAGGTGTACTTTCTTTAAATCTATGTTTGTTTGGTGCAATTTTGGAAAAAATATAACATCATGGATGCTATAGGAAATATTGACTTCACTTGGCAGGAATTAACTGATAAATGCACAAATGAAGTGTGGAAAAAGTTATGGCTGAAGTATCCAAGAATTCTTGATGAGAAGAGCCTATTGTTGTATCATTAGGTTGACCAAACTGAACCTAATCAATATAGCAGCACTAGGATTTATAGATGAGCAGGATATTGAGGAGTTACAGCAGGTTTCTGGTGAGACCCTTACCAACGACGACCTTCAAGATCTGGCAGAACATGGAATTCATATGGAACTGGAAAATAGAGATTCTAAAAAACAAAGAACCCAAAAAATTTCTCTACAGATTTCTTTAGTAAAAGTTTGGTAAGATAACCAAAATCATTGATCAAATTGTAGTGAATGATCCCTATTTTTGAAAGGAGTGCAGAAGCAAAATGCGACATTTTGGATGCGATTTTCTGCTACCAACATTTGCTTAAGGAAAGAAAAAAGTGACATATGAAACTTCACGACTTTTCTGAAATTCTTGTTCTTTTGCAATAAAGTCAGGATCTTCATCAAAAAAATGAACTTTACATTTCTGTGTGCATATGTTTGTGTTATTTAACATATATTATTATACAAATTAATATAAAAATAACTTAAAATTAAAGTAAAATTTATTTTTGGTTGCATGTTTCCCTAACGCTATTTATTGATACTTTGACAACCCCTTCATTCCCATTGACGAGTTAACTCGTCAAGTTTACATAGCATTACAAACTCTGTCCTTAAGGCCTTTTGAAAAATTTTTTTTTTTTTCAATTTTTGGAATGTTTTTTAAGTCTCCAAATTTTTCAAAAATTTTTACCTGCGCGAAAAAATTTTATCGCGATTTTAATCAACCTGTAATGACGTGCAATTCACGCTTTATTGCTTTTTAATTGTTTTTTAATGGTAGTTTGATATCAAATTTCATTCATCGTTCTAAAGTTGTAGTGCACGGATTTTCCTTCTGTAAAGTTATTTAAAGCTAGTTTCTGATGTCAAAAATGACTTCAGATAGTTTTTTAAATTTTTTAAATTAATAGATATTATTATATATAAGTTTAATTAAATTGGGGGGTCGGAAATCGCAATAAAAATTTTAATTTTTTAAAAATATTTAAAAATATACCACCAGCTAGTATTCAAGTTACTTTAAACCCTTATCCTCCTGAGAAGTCTGAGAATGTCCTGAGAAATCCGACACCAGCTGTTCTCAAGGTCATCCAGCTGTGTAAACAATGATCATGGTGTCAAATTTCACAAAGGCGAGACAAAGGAAGTTAAACTTTGAAGCTTTTCCTTCAAAATTAGCACATTTCTTTCGTTTTTTTTTTCCTTCAGTTTTAAGTATTTTTTATGTTTAATTATAATTAATTAAAAATTGATCGGGAGTGAAGGAGTTAAAATTACCTCGTTTAATGCTGTTTCGCTTAGTCTTTTGTTGTCTAGGAACACATTCCCTGCATTAAGTGGGGTCTTACTGTATATACAAAAAATGTTAAGAAAATTTTAAGCAAATAGTAAATTATTATTTTATCANTTACTACATTAGAAACTATTTTAATATATATAATATTTATATCTTTAAAATAGTATCTGATGCAGAAAATTTTAAGCAAATAGTAAATTATTATTTTATCATTCACAAATATGTGTAATAGTAGCTCAATTTGTTGTATTTGTGTGTGCAGGGCTTAAAGTGACTTGCTTTTTTAGCTTTTTTTCATAGCTTCTCTCATTTTTAGCTTTTTCCCAGGTAAACTCTCTTTTCTCACACTTTTCACTTCCCATGTGGAATTTTTTTTATAAATGCACTCAGGAGCAAAATAGCAACCAGCATGCCCCATACACCTTATGTGACTGTGCACATCATGATAAGGCATTATCATCTACACATGTACAGTACATGTATATAGGCTAACATAACAAGGAGCTTCCCAAGGCTTACTACTCTGCACATGCTGTAGAATTTGTGCTTAGGTTCTCCTTGCTTGTATTCTTGTGAAATACCGATCTCTGTGGTGCTTTGATACAAACACACTGCATTATGGCATAAGTACACTTGTAGTATTTTTTCATACATGCATACATGCAAGAAAGACATTGGCTGTACACAAAGTGTTTAGCCAACAGAAAAGAGGATAAAGGAAAGGGGAGAGGAAATAGACAGTAGAGAAAGTTAGGATCCCTCTGAACGGTGTACATGTGGCTACAGTACCCTCTATATTTGATGTTGGCATGCAATTTTTATGCTGCAAGGCCGTAGTCCCCCAAAGAGTCTAAAAGAAAACCTAAGTGTAGCGAACACCAATAATTGAGTACCACCACAAATAGCTAAGTTTAGAAGTTAGTGCCGAGTGGCTGTTAGTAGGAAGATTTATATCTACTTAATACTAATAAAACTGAATGCAATTGCGAATCTTAATACTACTCAACAGCTACACAGACTCTGTGAAAAGGAAACGAACACAATGACAAACTAGATGAGAGGAATGGACTAACAGAGACAATGAACAAGACCTCAATTTTTTGTTGTTTTTTTGTTTTATTATTTATTTATTTATTTTTTTTTAAACATTAACTTACTAACTAAACTAACTTATCATAACCTAGGACGAACCTAACCAAATGACTAAAGCTAACAAACCCTTATCTAATTTAACCTAACCTATCATATTCTAACTGGAAACCTAGCTACTGTGTTTCCCCGAAAATAAGACATCTGCAGAAAATAAGACCTAGCACAGATTTTGCTGAATTGTGAAATATAAGGCCTCCCCCTGAAAGTAAGACCTAGCAAAGTTTTTTTTACTCGTAACAGTAATCGACAGATGCTTGAAAGTGGCCGTTGGCTTTTTGAAAGTACAGCCACTGATTGGTCAACAGACAATCATGCCACACTATGTGATTTGCATAAGACTATGGCTTAGGAATTACAGATTTGCATAACGTTACGGCTGGTGATGGCTAATTGGTCGGCCGGGAATCACGCCACATGACATTTGCATAGTGTAAGCACTAATTGGTCATCGAGTCCGATGTTGACGCTATAAAAAGGCGAGAGTTCGACACATTGGATATACGTCACTTGTCTAAGTTTGACTTGGGAATTTTTTTGTTCAATAATAAATGTGAATTCTTCTTCCTGGAAAATTAAGACATTCCCTGAAAATAAGACCTAGCACATTTTTCAGAGCAAAAATTAATATAAGACAGTCTTATTTTCGGGGAAACATGGTAAGAGTCCCTAATCTAACTTACAACTAGGACAAGGGGCATACCAATCGAAAATGGCACCTAGGGCATGCATCAAAGTTGCGCCCCCTTCGTAAATGATCTTAATATAAAAAACAGATACACTAAATAAAACAGTCATGAATCTTACTTACAAAACATATTTATTTTCTATTTTATAACGAGTGTGAGTCCGTAAATTCTTTACATTTACAGTTGCACCTTTCTGGCCTTCTGTGACGCAAACATATCGATGATGTTGGAAATCAGTTTTTTTCCATTTCTTCTCGCTCTACACCGAGCAAAGCTAGGTTGTATAACCTTTCTTGACTCATTGTAGCCCTCAAATATGAAAGTATTAATTTTAACTTACTGAAAGATCGCTCACAACTTGCGATGGATACTGCAATTGTGAGCAGAATTTGAATGGAAATGCGCAGATTTGGAAATACATTTTCATCCCCGTACTGCACAATAAATTCAAATAGCTCTTCAGATTTCTTTATGTTGACGTTTTTTCTTGTAGATATTAGCATTTGAACATCCAATATTTCTTCTTATAACTGTTTCCCGTTAACATTGCAACCATAGACATTTCCAAATTCTTTACATTTCTTTTTTAAATCATTGCAGTCGTCAGTGCTGTAACACAGTGTTTTAACATCTAGAAGAAATCCAAATCTGGTGTCAGTTTCATGCAAACAAGTAAACCTTTCACTTATTTCACACACAATATGATCCAGCGATTTCTTTATTACTCGTTCTTTAGCAGTCAACCCTGCGTCTGATGCATTTTCTCCAGCCATACATTTTTTTTTTGTTTTTGATGCCTTTCCTTGGCTACATCCCATTTCTAGCAAACATTGAATCCTATTTTTAATGCCTCATTAACTAACTCTCTCCTTCATTTGAAAAATAGTCTCGGAGGGCTTTTATGTGCAAGGCAGCATTATGAAAATGGTGGAAGAAAGAGAAAAAGAGAGAGGAAAAAAAACAAGGCTCAGCAAGCTACACACTGACAATTAGATAACAAATCAAATAGCTTCAATAATGTTTGCTCGCTCGGGATTATTTAAATCAGAATCACAAATCCCATATAAACAAACTAAACAACTGCACGAGATGTGTCGAATTCGAACGAGCTAGTGCACTGCCTGCGCGCACCACTCATTTCCTCTCGCTCATTTGCAAAGCACGTGAGTTGCAGACAAGATTGTTTGATATGAATTGGTTTATTTTGATTTTTAAATTTAATAACTGACGATTTTGCGTACCCCCCCTTTGAAAGGCGCCCGAGCCACGTGCCCTACTTGCCCCACCCTAGGTATGCCTTTGACTAGGACTAACTGAATTTAGACTGAAAATGAAGACAGAAAAAAGAATTAAAATACAAAGTTAAAAGGCAGTTATATACTGACAGTTGAAACAAAGCAAGGAAAAGCTAATTGCCATCTGTGCCCCTGGAGTGAGTGCTCTCAAGAGCCCCACTAAGGGATATAAATGCAAATCGAATGGATCGATCAGGAACAGATTGAACGGTCAACTGTTGTGTATGTCACTACATTTAGCAACACTAGCATTATGCAAATCAGTTATCTATCGTCGTGAGTCTGGCAAATTTATAGTACAAATATTTTCTGTATTTTGGTTTAATAAATCATTAAAATAGGTACCTATTGGGTTGATGCAAAAGTTCGTCCCGTTTTTTTTAAAAGAATCAAAGACAAATTTTATTTACTAAAACTTACATTTAATCAATATAGTATGTGCCATTCTGTTTGACCTTTCTTCATAATTTGAAGTTTGGACTATTTACAAAAAGTCAAAATTTACTTTTGAGTCCATCTTTATCCTTATTACACTACCATAGAAGTATCAGTCACAAAAAATTTTCTGCTTTGAAGAACTCTTCTTAAAACACAGGTAAAAATTGGTAAAAAATCCCAATGGTTAAAAAAGATCAAGTGTCAGCCTTTCTCTGTAGGTTTCTGACACTTTTACAATTAAAAACACAAAGAAATTCTTCACACTATCATTTTTATCCATTCTTGTAAACTGCTTCTAGCCCTCTAGTGGTAGTTATGAGTATCTACATTATTTGCATATAGTTACAATTTTTGTGATTACTCAGGATTTATTTCTTCATAATTTGAAGTTTGGACTATTACTGACTATTAGTGACTGATACTTCTATGGTAGTGTAATAAGGATAAAGATGGACTCAAAAGTAAATTTTGACTTTTTGTAAATAGTCCAAACTTCAAATTATGAAGAAAGGTCAAACAGAATGGCACATACTATATTGATTAAATGTAAGTTTTAGTAAATAAAATTTGTCTTTGATTCTTTTAAAAAAAACGGGACGAACTTTTGCATCAACCCAATAGGTACCTATTTTAATGATTTATTAAACCAAAATACAGAAAATATTTGTACTATAAATTTGCCAGACTCACGACGATAGATAACTGATTTGCATAATGCTAGTGTTGCTAAATGTAGTGACATACACAACAGTTGACCGTTCAATCTGTTCCTGATCGATCCATTCGATTTGCATTTATATCCCTTAGTGGGGCTCTTGAGAGCACTCACTCCAGGGGCACAGATGGCAATTAGCTTTTCCTTGCTTTGTTTCAACTGTCAGTATATAACTGCCTTTTAACTTTGTATNATCGGTTATAGGCGTGATGCCCAACGGAACTCGAAATAAGAACATTTTTGAAAGGCGTTCCAAAGACAACGGGCAGTAACGATGTGTTACGAATAGAACATTGCCTGAAGAAGGATACAGTGGTGTCCGAAAACGTTTGCGATTGAAATTCTTTCACATCGGTTATAGGTTTAGAGATAAGTTATTTTTAAATTTTGACTTTTTGTAAATAGTCCAAACTTCAAATTATGAAGAAATAAATCCTGAGTAATCACAAAAATTGACCTTTCTCCATCTTTCCGGTAGCTGCATAATCCTGTGCTCATAGAATTTCTGAGATTTCTGGCTAAAAAACTGATTCAGGTGATTTTTCAAGTCTTTCAAGGAAGTAAAGTTTTTAGCATCTAAGCTGTTTTGAAATGATCTAAATAAATGGTAGTCAGAAGGTGCAAGATCAGGAGAGTATGGTGGATGAACCAAAACATCCCAATCAAGTTGTAAAAGTTTTTGTCAGGTGGCCAAAGACACGTGTGGTCTAGTGTTGTCTTGATGGAACACAATGCCCTTTCTGTTGGCTAATTCAGGTCGCTTCTGGTCAATTGCTCGCTTTAATTCACTTAGTTGTGAACAGTATTCCTCTGAATTAATGGTCTGATTTTCAGGTAACAGCTCATAATAAATGATTCCCTTCCAGTCCCACCAAATGCATAGCATAACCTTCTTTGGATGTAAACTGGCTTTTGCGCTGGTTGAAGGGGCATCTCTGTGCTTACACCATGATCTTTTATGCTTAACATTATTATACACAATCCATTTTTCATCACCTGTAATAATTTGCTTTAAAAATGGATCGATTTCATTGCACTTCAATAGAGAATCGCAAGCAGAAATTCGGTCTATCAAATTTTTTTCTGTTAACTCATGCGGCACCCATACATCGGCCTTGCTAACCATTCCAAGTTGATGTAATCTCCTTGACATTGTTGACTGATTGATTCCAAGAATTTCTCCAATCTCTCAAGTTGTTTTGTGCCAATCACTTTCAATTAGTGCCAATATTTCGTTGTCATCAGCCTCGGCTGGTTGTCCAGAACGTGGTGCATCGCTAAGGTTAAAATTGCTTTCACGAAACTTTCTAAACCACTTATGGCATGTGGAATCATCAATGGCTCCCTCACCATACACAGAACATATCTTTTTCTGTGTCTGCAAAGAATTCTTGCCTTTTTGGAAATAAAAAAGCATAATATGTCAAAAATGCTCCTTATTTTCTGCCATTTGTAATGCTTAACAAAATTTTAAAAACACAACTAAGTAAGACAACTTTATTCTCAAATACTAGCTGAGATCCCTTTTGCCAAATGTCATCGAAATTTTACACATGTGAAAGAAATAACACTTCAGTGTTGTGTTTTTAGCCAGCTGGTGCTAAAAACGGGATGAACTTTTGCATCAACCCATACTTATTTACTTGTGTATTACATATTTTATTATAGAATTTATTATTAGTTCGTTTAATTGGGGCAGCTGCTTAATTGAGCCAAAACNAAGCGCATATAGATTCTGGAAATGAAATTTGATGTAATGTATTTATTGATTTTTGGTCGCTAATATGTTTTATATAAATTTAACTGAATCAAAAAATAGTGTAAAATTCCATTTTGGTTTCTGATTTGGCTGCAAAATTTGGTTTTGAGCAGACCTTACCTGTCTGTAAAAAATGTAACAATGCCTGATAAAATAATATATGTTGCTGGAGCATTCGATTTATTTCGTATCCTTTAAACATGGGTGTTTTTCTATTTGAAAATGGTTTTCTGTTTCAATGCAATACAATTACAATAAACTCCTGATATGAGCCTTCCCATGACAATAAAATGCCACCAGTAGAGAATTGGATAATGGATTATGAATGGAGCATTAAAAACCCTGTAATGAGGGAGGTCGAATCCAAGTCCTGCTAAAACGGCTGATAAAGATCTTCATGGGAATGCTGCATTTTTGGAGATATTTTATATCTAGATACTAGGGATATCCCAATACCACAAGTATCGATACCAGTATCATGAGTAGTTTGATATTGATACCAGTATTGCATTGGGTATTGAAACTGGAAATTTTGCCAGCTGTTGCTGTTCAGTCTGTTATGTTGCCATCCACTCATTTTCATTGCTGAGAAGGTACACCTATTCCTCTTCCTCTTTCTGCATGGTGACTATATTCAAAATAATGCCATGTAAAAACAAATTGCATAAAAAGTACAATACACGCATTCAGTAGGAAAATGTTTGATAGTAGGGTTTGTCGGTTTTGAGAAACCTGTATTTTGAAGAAATTTGTATAATTTGAAAATAAGGTTTTCCCGAGTAAAAAAATCTGTTTTCGAGCCTTAAAACATAAAAATTAATTATTTGATTATAAACATTAACATTTTGATACAAAATTGTCCCTGGCATAAAATGGGAATATTGTTAAATACCAAGTTTCATAAAACTAACTACAAAACAAAAAAATTCCCACTATGCCTAAAAGGTATCCAATTTGGCTCAATTCGTGCTCTGAATGAGATGGGTGGGACCTTATCAGAGCTGTAGAGCATATCCATAGAAGCAAAAATATCAAAGGAACCATACCTCTACAAGCATCCCTTTGCGAGTACAGCCCCAAAATTGGGTCATGTGAGATCGATTACATAAATATCTTCAAAAACTTGAAAAAACTTTGCTTAACCCTAGGACACTAAAGTAGTAGTTTTTAGTATTTTAGGGTACAAACAGAAGAACAAAAAATTTTGATTTATTATTTAACGCTTTAAAGACAATTAAACCCAGCTTAGTAGCAAGTGAGAGTTTTTTCTATTTCATGTGCAAAATAAGGACAAACTTAAGCAATAGAGCTATAGACATCCTTTACTTTCCAAAATCATATTTTCTTAGGAAAAATAAAAAATAAAATAATATTTTGTAGGCATTCATTGTTGTTTGTTTTTCTTAATGATATTGTATGGAGTAAATTTTATATTTTAATAAATCATTTAACACCTAATGCTGAGAAAAACATTTATTTAAAGAAACATTAACGTTTTCGACCTAATATGATAGGCCATCTTCAGATGCAAGTATTCTTGAACATATTTAACTTAATATTTAACGTCAGAACGTTTGAATACTTTTAAGTTTGTATTTTAATGTGATAGTGTAGCATTTTTTTTTTTTTTTGTTTTGTTTTGTGTTGATTACAGACATTGGACAATTATATTTTGTTATATTCTTGAAATGTTAGATATTAAATAAATTAAAAAGTTTTAAAATAAATTGTAAATATATGTTATTTCCTTTTTTGGTAAAAATTTGAAAACTGGTTTTAACCAGTTTTGTAGAAAAGTTGAGATTCGAAAACCGGTTTTTTAAAAAGTCAGTTTTTGTATAAATCCTACTTGATAGGATCCACAACTTGAATGGCATGAAAAAATAAGCAATTTACAAAAGAAACATAATTTTTTTGCTCTAACATCATTTATCATTAACATTATGTACATAAATATAGTAAGCATAAAGTAGCATAGAAAAAAAATCAACATACAGTATTCTCTGATGTGCATATAGTACTGTACTGTGCTTAAAAAAAACTTGATTTCAACAAAAATAGTAACATTTTTTAACATTAACACAATTTTAATGAAAAGTTAAATTTAAAAAATTTCAAATTAATGGATTTTTTCTGTGTAAAAAATCAATTGCTTAAAAGGAGGATTAATTTTGTTTTGTGGACTGAGTTATTTCAAAACACACAAAAAGAGGATAGATGTACTCTACTCATTACAATGAATTGAGCCCCAGAGCAGCAATTAATATTTTTTACTTACTCCAGGGAATTGAATCCTGGCTATTTGGTCCAGAAGTCAGGGTGTCAGTAAGTACTTCAGTTTACATTCATATGATGTCTTATGTACACAAAAGAAGCCCCAGATCTACAGTCCTATTAATGGGCTCTGTGGGTGCTACTATATACAGGAAAGGGATGGATAAGAAGTTGTTGTTGAAAAGGTAAAACAGTGTCTTTACATTGAAAGTTCTTTATTGTGTTCAAATTATACAAATGTCAGTGCAAACATGCATATACAAATTGTAGCTCATTTTAATTAAATAGTCGAAGTTGATTAACAAAAAAAATTCTGCATAATGTCTAACTACATATTTATTTAAAAATAGTAATCAGAACTCTAAGCGCATATAGATTCTGGAAATGAAATTTGATGTAATGTATTTATTGATTTTTGGTCGCTAATATGTTTTATATAAATTTAACTGAATCAAAAAATAGTGTAAAATTCCATTTTGGTTTCTGATTTGGCTGCAAAATTTGGTTTTGAGCAGACCTTACCTGTCTGTAAAAAATGTAACAATGCCAGATCTGATACTCAAAGTAAAGTATAATACTGGTATTGGTATTGGACCAAAAGTATTGAGTACAAAAAGAAAAATACTTTTCTTCAATACTCAGTATTGAAGAAAAGTATTAGTAGTATCGGGACATCCCGAGGTATAATACATGTATATTTAGCCAAACAGAATGATTCCAAAAATTACAAAATATAAATACAGAATGATCCAAAAATGATGTAATGAGTAAGATAATATAAAAGTAAGGTATAAAATGTATTGAGGTATTTTCTAAGTAGATATCATAAAACTTTCAGAAACTATTGCCATACTTGTATGCATGGGTGTAGCCAGGAAAGGGCATGGGTGGGCACAGCCCCCACAGTTAACCTGGTGCCCCTCCCCAGAAAATTACATTAGCCAAAAAGTCCAGAGCTGATTTGCAAAAAGAAATAAAAAGCTGAAACTAATTTAATTGGGTGTAGTGTACCCACAAAATCTAGATCAGGCATAGCCAACATATGGCCCGTGATTAATCTTTGAATATTGGTATTGGACTTAACTTCAAATAATTGCTCAAATAGATCTGCGATAATTCCTTATATCCTCACAATGTGAAGTGATAAAAAAGTTGAGAAATTCTGACCCCTAAAAAGAAAAAAAAAAGGTCAACGGCTTTCTGCCAATGTGAAAAGTGTATCCGTAATCCCTTATGTACAGTTTAGTCTCTAAGGGTTAAGGTATTGCTAGAGCTTGATATTGACATTACGAGAACGTATGATTAAAGGAAGTTTCATATTATATGTGTGTTAAGTTATTGTCGATTCCTATGGAAATTTCATTTTAATGAACAATAATTTGAAATAATTCAATTTTGTGTCAGGCTGGCCTCTACTAGGCCCCCCATAACAAAACTCTGGCTATGCCAATGCTTGTATGTGATAAACATCTAGTAAGAGAATGTAACAGCAGTTATTACTCAGATTATTTCTTAACAAATTGACTAGTTGTCTTAAATAAGTGTTGAGCAGTTTAAGCAGTATTCCTTATGCTTTGGCTGATTATAATTATTTGCCATATTTATCATTAAACTTTCAGCATTTAATGTTTCAAATGAAAAATAAATATTTTTTGATAATTTATCTAGTTTTAATTTATATCGTTTTTAACTTACTTTAGAAGTTGTTATTACAACATATAATGAAAACTTAAAAGGTGAATGATTTGCTGTTTAAGAACTGTATAAATTTTTTGAAAATTCTGTAATAAAGTATATAAGAAAGTAATTGACATAGTTTTAATACTGTAATTCTTTATTTCAAAGTAAATTTTTAACAAGTGCTGTTCAATTTATCAATCAATAAGTTATCAATATAAATGCTTTATATTAGTCAAATAAATTTTTAATTTAGAAAAAAATCAGTATTAGCAGACAATATAAATTTTGAAAATACAGGTACTCTTCACTTTATGACCTATCTGCTTAACGACCACTTGCACTTACGACCAATCGAGTTTGGACCTGCAATTTGGGAAATTCCCTTTCTCAGCTTGAGTGTCGATCAGTGGCGATTGGTGACAGTATAGGCTTGCTATGGACTTTTTTTAGTCAGTTTGATGTAATTTAAACAATTGCGGGCCTTGCCAATACGCTTAATTTAGATGTTGAAGTGGAAGACATTGTTGAATTAGTGGATTATGCTGATGGAGAGCTAACAAATGAAGATTTAATAGAGTTAGAAGTGATGCAGTATTTGGAAGAGGAAGACAACGAACGAAGTGAAAAAGAAATTCATGGAACATGGGTTAGCTGGGTTCTCCAAAATTAATGTGGCTATGTTGGAACTTGAGGCTATGGATCTAATACTGAACATTTTAACATAAAGTTGGACGTGGGATGAGTGAACTTTTGAAGTGCTATAGAGAAATTTATCAAGAAAAAAGATTACAATGCAAACCACAGTTAAGAGTTTCTTATAGACTGTTACATCCAAGACCTCCACCCTTGAAGGTACAACTTTTATTTCATCGTCGTCATCTCCTTTACCTGGAAAAAACCTCTACAGATCCAGATAACCAAATAAACAAATGATAATATGTACATATGCATGTCTTTTTATGAATAAATTTGAAGTTTGTTGCATAATTTTTATAATTTTACAACGATCCTATATTCTGGCTGCATTGACCAATTTGCTCGTTTATTGACCAATTTGCTTAACGACAGTTGTAGGAATAGAACTCGGTTAGTTGTAGGAATAGAACTCGGTCGTAAAGAGAGGCATACTTGTATAATGATTTATATTTTTAGATTAAAATACAACATATATGCTATTTTTGCTTAGTTAAATAAAAATAAAAGCATTAAGCAAATAAAATAGTTATTCTTAATCATATATTTCAATATGAATTGAATTATTATAATAAACATGCAGACTTGAAAATGTCTTCTTATCACCTTAATTAGTGCAATTATTGTAGTAATTATTACATTCAATCATACCAAGTTTTTGATTTTAATTGTATATACTTACATTTTAATATAATTTTATTCTTGTATACTTTTATCATACCAGTTATATTACTCAAAAAAAAGTAATTATTTCTTAACTGAATAAGATATCGGTCATTTAGATTTTCTTGAAAAGGCAAAAGAAAAAGGTGATTATTTAATTGTTGGACTTCATACAGATCCTGTGAGTTTTCAACATGAAATCAATTTTGAATGTTTTGTTCATTGTTGCTTTTATAAATTAATGTGTTTTTATTTCTAGGTGGTTAATTGTTATAGGGGAAGCAATTACCCAATAATGAATTTACATGAGAGAGTATTGAGTGTTTTGGCTTGCAAGGTTAGTAAATTTAAAATTTACCATATGTAAAATTGATAGTTGTCAGCTGAAATAAAATTAGTATGCTTACATATTTATATAAACATACTAAATTTTGTTTTTAAATTTTATTCATAACCCCAATAGATGCTAGATTAAAAATCTAGCATCTATTGGGCTACTGAAAATTTGATGCACGTGTATATAAAAAAGTATATAGCTAAGTGATCATTATCTAGAAAGAATGGACAAATATATTTGTCCATTTATCTTTCAAGATAATGATAACTTAGCTATAATGATAATGGACAAATATATTTGTAGATTAAAGCTGTTGACTTATATCTTCATTTTAGTGTAATGAAATAGGAAAAAAATAAAGTTTAATACAGTAAATTTGCTTCATGGTAACCTTTTTGAGGTCAAAGATGTTACATTTTCCAAATATTTTCTGTTCTGGTGAAAATATATCAATTAAATTATACAATTTCATGTCTAGATAAAAAAGTACTCTGAAACTTAAAAACTATCCTTTAAAATTATATTTAAAATAATTTAAAAAGCAAAGAAAAACATCACTACATAAAATTTTTTTAAATAATTGACAAATTAGAAAAACAAAAAAATCAACGTTTACTAGATTTTATGAATGTGCATTATTATTATTATTATTATTATGTTGGGTTTAGTGGGTAATACTCGGTTTAAACCGGTGGCTGTGTACTATGCCGAACCAGAGTCAATGCATAGCAACCAAAACTAATTAAATAAGTGTGTCAGTGTCTGTATTCAGGAATTTCCTAACAATATGACATGTATTCAATATAGTGGCCTTCTGTAGTGTGATGTATGTATTTCTATTCAATTGTAATGTTTCCAGGCTTTTGTGTAGTGTGTGTGGTATCACACCTGTACAGGAGAGAACAACAGGTACAATAAGCACCCTATCCATCCTCCACAGATGCCTTATTTCCTGGGCGAGTTCTGTGTACTTGCTAATTTTTTCAGTGCATGTGTTTTGTACATTGTGAGTGTTTGGAATGGCTATGTCTATAATGTATGTGATTTTATTGTGTTTGTCAATGAGTGTGATGTCTGGTCTGTTGTGGTAAATTGTTTTATCTGTGATTATGGCTCTGTCGTAGTACATTTTGTGCGTGTTGTTTTCCAATACTGTTTGTGGTATATACTTGTAGTATGGTTCATGGATGTCTACCAATTTGTGTTTCTTTGCAAGCTCTTGGCAAATTATATTTGCTACTTGATTGTGTCTATGTAAGTAATCTGTCTGTGCCAAGAGCTTGTAACCAGAAATGATGTCACATCATGCCAGAAACTATACAACACATTTTCTGCATGTGTCATTTGTGAGTGTTGTATCTTTGAGTATGTGTTTTCTGTAGTTTTTAGTATTTATGACTTGATCCTGTACGGCAGTCATGAATACTTTCGTCTCCCCAAAGAGGCATCCCCAATGTAACTAACTGTTTGACGCAGTTCTGTCAACAAAATCCTGGACCATGTCATAAAGATGCTTGCCATGGAGTGCCTTTTGAGCCCACAATGTCTTAATGGTGTCTATGCTTTTTATATGTTTGCGGAAAATGTCACACTATGCCAGAAACTATACAACACATCACTTCTGGTTGCAAGCTCTTGGCACAGACAGATTACTTATATAAACACAATCAAGTAGCAAATATAATACACCAAGAGTGTGCATAGAAACACAGATTGGTAGACATTCACGAACCATACTACAAGTATATTCCACAGACAGTATTGGAAAACAACATGCACAAAATGTACTACAACAGAGCCGTAATCAGACAAAACAATTTACCACAACAGACCAGACATCACACTCATTGACAAACACAATACAATCACATACATTATAGACATAGCCATTCCAAACACTCACAATGTACAAAACACATGCACTGAAAGAATTAGCAAGTACACAGAACTCACCCAGGAAATAAGGCATCTGTGGAGGATGGATAGGGTGCTTAATGTACCAGTTGTTCTCTCCTGTACAGGTGTGATACTACACACACTACACAAAAGCCTGGGAACATTAGAATTGAGTAGAAATACATACATAACACTACAGAAGGCCACTATATTGAATACATGCAATATTGTTAGGAAATTTGTAAATACAGACACACACACTGACACACTTATTTAACTTTAGTTTTATTTTGGTTGCTATGCCTTGACTCTGGTCCGGCATAGTACACAGCCACCGGTGTGAACCGAGTATAACCCACTAAACCCAACATAATAATAATAATAACTCCTGTGGTCACCACCTGGTCATGGTGGGAGAGCACAGTAATTTTACTGAACCATAGAGCAATGCAGGCTGGAGCACAAGCTCCTGGTAGGGACACCCATGCTAGTAAGGTCTATGGGGAGAAATGAAGCTAAGAGTGACCACACACCCACATTCTGTGGAGATATTTATCATGGTAGTAACCAGATCTAAGTATGATACCAGCTCGGACATCGCCCGGGTTAACAAGGTCCAAGTTCGTGGGTTAGGCAGAGGCTCACGTTCGAAAAATAGACTCCAGTCTCCCTTGGTTATTGGTGTCGAAAGCAGTGCCGGCTTAAGCATGGCTACTGCAATGCCCTCAACTGATGTGAGGAATCAACCTAGCCTTGGTGTTTCTGTGGCAATGCATCCACAGACCACAAAGGCTGGAAAACCATGCCAACGAAAGAAATGGACAACAGAAATGAACGAGTTTATCATCTGTACTTACTACACCATCACAAGACTTGAAACAAACATGACAGCATACATACAACAACTAAACCATAGATTCACACAACAATATCCTCACCTCACTGTCAGCAAACAAAGGGTTGTTGATCAAAAAAGAACAATTATACACAACAACCTTATTCCACAAACAACACTTGAACTTATCAAACAACAGGTTGCTGATCAAATACAACAACAGACAGAAACATGTAACATTAATGAAAATCACATAACCTGTCAGGATAATCCAGCAACAAGCATTGATAATAGTACACATACAAAAACTACCATTAATGATACTACAGACACTTCCTCATCCATCACTGATAACGTAGATATAGATTTAGTTAATACACTCTCACTTATATATCAGGAAACACTCACTAAATATACAGGCACAGATCCCACACAAAGACCACGAATACCGAAAATCAACACGTCAAAGGTAGTAGGAAAAACACTAAATTATGTAAACACTCACTTACTACCAAACTACATTCATTCAATTTCTACACTCTCAGACATTCATACATTAGTTTATGCTGGGGCAGTCACAGTAGTAACACACCATGGACTGAAAATACACTCACAGACAGACACACACAAAACACAATCCTATCATAAGCCTGCCTGGCAGAGAAGAATAGAAACACAAATAAATGACATTAGACAGCAATTAGGCAGGCTGACACAATACACTAAAAACAACATAACACCCAAATTAAAGAAACAACTCAAAAACATTTTCAAGAAAATCAAAACACACACAAAACACGAACATCACAACACACACATTACAGAATACATCGATACACTAAAACAAAAACTCGCAGCCAAAGCACGTAGACTCAAACGATACAAAACATGTACACTACGAAAACAACAAAATAAATTATTCACAAACAATGAAAAACTTTTCTACAGACAAATCAGTACCAAAACAAACACTGATACACAGCACAGTGGCACACCAACAGAAGAAGAACTCACAACTTATTGGTCTTCTCTTTGGTCCAATGCTGTTACACACAATGCTGATGCAGGCTGGATCGAGGAGGAGAACAGAAACTTGCATAACATACCAACTATGCCCTGTGCTGAAATAAACATACACGACATTTGCTACGCTGTTAACAGAATACACAACTGGAAGACACCTGGTGTAGACAACATTCACAATTTCTGGTACAAAAAGTTTACATCACTGCACCAGGAACTAGCTAAACATCTAACACACATCATTGTCAATCCACAAGACATGCCAAAATTTCTTACTCAGGGCATCACCTACATGAAACCTAAAAACAACACCACCACAGACTCCACACAATACAGTGTTAGACGTCCGTGTTTATTAACAACTCCTCAACGATAGAGCTCGCGAGAAGAGTGCGAGATCTCGTCCCGTGATTGAAGAATAATATCCCTGTTTTGTTAGTTTCAGTTTTGGTTTTTTTTTTTTTTTTTTTTTTTTTTACTTCTTGTTCTTTTCTGTGTGCAGTCAACTGCTTTGTGATTATGTCCTTAATAATAACTTCAATAAAGTATTTTGAACACATTGCTGGTATGTATAATTTGTCATCCTATCCTGCGCTGTGAACGGACGAATTATCATTGGCTTATCATTAAAAGTTAAATGATAAAAGACCTTAACCCTAACATACAGACCAATTACATGTCTTCCAACACTCTACAAATTATTGACATCCTGTATCACAAACAAAATATACAAACATGTTGAAGAACACGACATTCTTACAGAACAACAAAAAGGTTGCCATAGAAATAATGGGGGATGCAAAGAACAGTTACTAATAGATTCAATCATTTCACGGCAAGCACACAAACAACACAGAAACACATACATGGCATATATAGACTATAGAAAAGCATTCGACAGTGTTCCACACTGTTGGTTGCTACATATTCTACACATGTACAAAATACATCCATCACTCATTGCATTCTTCGAAAACACTATGCAGCACTGGAGAACAACACTATATCTCAGGGTTAGTGACACTTCCATACAAAGAAACGAAATATTCATTAGGCGAGGAATTTTTCAAGGAGATTCCTTGAGTCCTCTCTGGTTCTGCATAGCCCTGAACCCATTATCCAACATGTTAAACAACACGCAATATGGCTACAATATCAGACATGAAAAAACAACACAGTTTACGCTGTCACATCTCATGTACCTGTCCAGTGCAAAATGGTTTTCCTCATCGTGACGTGAATCACG